GATCAGCATATGTACAGTGCTATGTTTAGGATAGATAACCAGCAAGGACCTCCTGTACAGCATAGGGAACTCTGGTCAGTACTCGGTAGCAACCTACATGGGAAAAGAGTTTGAAAAAGAATAGATACATGTATGTGTATAACTGAATCACTCTGCTGTACACCCGAAACTAACGACATCATTAATCAACTGTACTCCAGTATAATATGTATATACCAGGGTACTAACAGTGATGTCTTCCCTGGTGGCTCAGTCGGTAAAGAGTCTGCCTGCAATACGGGAGACCCAGGTTCAATCCCTGGGTCAGGAAGATCCCCTGGAGAAGAAAATGGCAACCCACTCCAGTATTCTTGCCTGGAGAATTCCGTGGACAGAAGAGCCTGGTGAGCTACAGCCCATGGGGTCACAAAGAGTCGGACTCGACTGAGTGACAAACACCTTCACTTTCACCAACAGTAAAGCTTGCTTCCAGGGAGCGCCGGCCCCACGGAGCATGGCAGAGAGTGAGCTTGAAGACAGCTGCCAGCCTCAGTTGTCTCTGGAAGGGATCACTGTCAGTCCCCAGATGCAGGTTTTGTCAGAAACCTGTCCCGTGGACATAGTCAGGATGCTTAGCTAATAGACTTCTTTCAAGGAAGAAGGAGCACCTGAATCTCTGGCCTCTTGCCGTGCCCCGGGGGAGTTTAAGAACTCTTTCTCCACTGGTCAGAATCCTGTGGGACCCACAAATATAAGCCCCATTAGCCACCAGAGCCACGTGATGCAGAGGTGTCCCCTGACCACAGTCACAGAAATCATGGTGCCAGATACGAGTATGAGCTCTCTTCCAGGTGACTCCAGTTATTACGGGTTCCCCTGTCCTCCAGAGTCAGGTGATCCAGAGGTGTCCCCTAGATGGCACCCACAGAAGTCAGGGCCAGCTTGAGTAAACGCTCTCTCCTGGGAGACTCTGGAGCTCCGGAGCACGGCAGAGGGAGAGTGTGACGCTGTCACCCAACGGACCTTGTCCCTGGACTGTTCCAGCAGGCTCCTACGAGTGTGTGTTAAATTAGAGGCCTGCCCCTCAGGCCTCAACATGTTTACAGCAACTTATCATGTTCCCTATTCCTGCCCTCAAAAGAGGATCATCTGTACCATTTTTCTAGATTCCACATATATATGTTAGTATATGATATTCCATATTTGTTTTTCTTTTTCTGACTTACTTTACTCTGTATGACAGACTCTAGATTCATCGATGTCTACAAATGACCCAGCTTTATTCTTTTTATGACTGGCATATAACATGGAGTAGGAGAAGGGAAGAGTGGAATGAGCTGGGAGATCAGGATCGACGTACATACACTACCATGCGTGAAATAGACAGCCAGTGGGAAGCTGCTGAACACAGGGGCTCAGCCCAGTTCTGTGCGATGACCTAGGGGGTGGGATGGGGGTGGGGTGGGCGGGGGTTGGGAGGGAGGGGTACATGTGTACATGTAGCTGATTCACTTTGTTATGCAGCAGAAACTAACACAACATTGTAAAGCAGTGTACCCTGATTTAAAAAAATAGTAAAATGCAGTTATTTTCTTGTTTTGTTTTCTTTCCTAAATATTTTATTATACCCTCCAAATCCTTAACCATTTAAGTATTTGTGAATTTTGACTGTTTTTTTATAATTTATTTATTTTACTTGCAAGCTAATTACAGTTATTTTAAAGAAAAAAAAGTTTTATCAGATTCTCTATGCAGGTCTGCTCTTCCTCTTATTTTCCCTGTTTCAGTTAATGGTACCACCCTCTATCTGCATGCCCTCCTTAAATCCTTTTTCTCCTTCACTCCCCTGTATCAAATCCGTCACCAAGTCCTATTGGTTCTTCTTGAGTATTTACTAAGGTGATCTGTTCTCTCTAGTTCCCCTGCTCCCACCCTTTCGTGTCTCACCTCAGTTGGTTCAGTGACCACCTAACTGGTCCTGCTGCCCCTTGCCTTACCCTTCCCCATTTGCGTCACATCCAGGGCAATGTTTCTAAAGCACCAATCTGATATGTTACCACTGCTTCAAATAATTAAGCCATTTTCTATTTCCTTTAGGATAAATTCCATCAAACTCCTTAGTATGCATAATATTAATAAATTTTCATTTTATGGGCACCTGTTTGCCTATTTAGTCATCTCTCCTTACTCCCACTCCATGTACTTTAAACTTCAGTCATAAAAAAACTCAATTTATGATTCCCCAAGTGCATTATATTTTCCTTCATGTGTATGCCTTTTTGTACACCGTTCCCTCTATGTAAAACAATTTTCCCCCAATCCCCACCCCCTTGTCCTCATGTATTAACTTAGCTGTTCCTGCATGTTAAAATCTTAGCCCTCTCTCCAGTCTGCATCAAATACAGTTTTTATGTGCCAGTGGCATCCAGTGTTTGTCAGAAGCCCTTATGTCATGTTACTGCAATCATCTGTTCCCCGCAAAGCCCCTTTCTAAAATTAAGTTTCTTGAAGAAACCTAGTGCACATCATATCCTTAGTTCCAGCACAGAGTCTCACACAAAGTAGGGATCTTGTAAACATTTTTGAATGATGAAATAATGGTAATGATTTATTTCATTTCAAAGTATAAGATATATAGCCAAAGCTGTACTCAAAAGAAAATTAGTATATTTAAATATTTTAAGTTTTTTAAAAGCCAATTCTCTGGTGTCTCAGTCAGTAAAGGATCCACCTACAATGCAGGAGACCTGGGTTCAATCCCTGGGTTGGGAAGATCCCCTGGAGAAGGGAATGGCAACCCACTCTAGTATTCTTGCCCAGAGAATTCCATGGACAGAGGAGCCTGGCGGGCTACAGTCCATGGGGTCACAAAGAGTCAGACACAACTTAGTGACTAACACTTTCCCTTTTTCACAAATACTAACTCGAAGCTTTAGAAATTTCCATGTGAGTTAGAGTTACAAGGAAATTTATTTGATTTGACAACTATCAGAAAACAAAAGCAAACCACCTGCTTAAGGATAAAACATGAGTAATGTTCCCATTAGAGTTGGAAGCGAGAGAAATGTGCCTGCTCTAACTTATTATTCAGCATTGTTCTAGAGACTTTAGTTCATACAATGTAATAGTTAATAGAAAAATACATAGGGCTTCCCTGATGGCTTAGATGGTAAAGAATCTGCCTGCAACGCAGGAGACATGAGTTCAATCCCTGGGTTCAGAAGATGCCCTGGAGAAGGGAATGGCTACCCACTCTAGTATTCTTGCCTAGAGAATTCTGTGGACAGAGGAGCGTGGCAGGCTACAGTCCATGGGGTTGCAAACAATCAGACATGACTGATCGAGTAACACTTTCACTTTCATAGGTATAAATATAGGAAAAAAATGATAAAATTGTCATTACATAGAGGTGATATGATTGTTTACTATTACAAAAAGAAGAAAATTACTTGAAAACTATTCAAAATAATAAACTTTAGTAAGATGATTATATAGCAGATAAATATGCCAGTGTTTATTGCTTTCCTAATTGTCAGCAATAAACAACTATAAAATGTATTTTAAAAGAGCCTGCTTACTATGGAAGTAAAAAATATAAGATGCCTAGTAATAAATCTATCAAGAAATATATAGGACCTACCTAAACTCTGGTTAAGAGGTAAGTTCTGGAGGAAAGTGCATGGGTGTGAATTTCAGATCCAGGGTTTGCTAGCTGGTATCTTTAGGGAAGTTTAACCTTTCCTTGTGTTTATATTTGAAAAGAAACAACAACAAAAGATAAGTACACCTGTGATTAGCACTTCTCTGGATATTTAGGTTCTGGGCTGGTTTTGCCTTGACCAGCTTCCTTAGCTGTAAGTCAAAGCTAACAATGACTGCTTCCCCAGAGTTGGAGAAAAACTGTGAGAATCTAAGGGTTCATGAAGCATATGTTTTGCCTTTTGTGAGATGCATAACAGATTTCATAATTAGAGCAGTGACATCTCTTTTTTGTCAGAAAGACCTGTGGTGTCTGCCAGTCTCTCTAGACAGAGCACTGCAGGAAGATGGGACATCGTCAAAACCAGTAACCTTGCTGGATCTCAGACATCATCCGAGGTTACCCCAACTCTTAAGAATCAAGTGAGGGACTTCTCTGGTGGTCCATTGGTTAGGACTCTGCGCTTCCAATGCAGGGGCCCCGGGTTCAATCCCTGTTCAGAGAACTAAAATCCCACATGCCACACAGTGCGACCAAAAAATAAAAAAAAAAGATACCGATTTAGAAAAATGCAAATGGACTTATTTTTTAAAAAGGAGCCTAATGCAATTACTCTGAGCTTCACACCCCACAGCCCAGCAAACTGCTGAGACGTCGAGACTTCTCAAGATGTGAGGGAAGAAATTCTTTCAATCCCTCATGTTCCTGTCTGTGTCCCGAGATGTCACATACAGTCTGTTCACCCCACACTGACCCAAATGTAAAACGCAACCCTTCTTTGTGTTCCCTGATAGTATCCTCTTTCACAAAAGTGGGGATGAGCAAAATCTATTTCCCTGAAGATTTTGTATCCTTCCTGAAGGAGGAGTGTCACATTGCATGTGCACAGTGGGCCACTTAACAATCCATATTTGATATTTTTGTTTCCGAAAGTCTTCTTTGCGACAACCCACTGCTAGGAATTTCTGTTTCTCTGCCTTCACATTGATCTGGCTTCATCAGCTCCTCTTTTCCAACCAGCCTTGCATTACCTTTACTCAACTTCAGACTACTCTGCCTTTCCACTGCAGAGCAAGCCCACCCTCTTTGACTCACAGATGTAAACTACCCCGTGCTCAGCTGACCAGTGCCCTTTGCTTCAGCAGCATCCCTCACCTGCCATAGAGGAGTGGTAGAAATAGAAAGAGCCATTTTTCCTATTATGTGTGATGAAACCCATTTGCTGGCTTGTGGTCAGAATGCTAAATGGTATTTGTCATATGGTTCTGTGGCTCTGTTCTTAAAGGAATTTGCCTTTGTCATATCTGTTTTTATTCCAAAGGTGTCCCTCAGCCTAATGTAACTTGGTTGAAGAAAGGAGGATCTCTGAGTGACAATATTTCCTTGCTTTTCAATGGATCCCTGTTGTTGCAGAACCTTTCCCTTGAAAATGAAGGAACCTATGTCTGCACAGCCACCAATGCTCTTGGAAAGGCAATGGCAACATCCGTCGTCCACTTGCTGGGTAAGCACCAAGTCCTTGTTGTCTTCAAGTGCTTCTTATAATACATGCAAAGTAGGACCCGGTTTTGTGGATTTGGAGTCAAGCAGTAAACAAGTGGACGTTGCAAGGTTTTAACTATTGCTGTCACTGTCCACTTACAAACAGGCGCTTAATCTAATACTCTGTCTTACCTGTTCTTCTCTCAGAAGGCTGTGACTGCCTTGCTGCTGCTTCTCTGCCTAAGAACCTACAATGAGATATAAACTTTCTGCCCAGAATCAAGATCCTGCATACTCTGCCTCTGTGTGTGTACTTGTGTGCCAAGTTGCTTCAGTCCTGTCTGACTCTCTGTGACCCCATGGACTGTAGCCCGCCAGGCTTCTCTGACTGTAGGATTCTCCAGGCAAGCATACTGAAGTAGGTTGTCATGTCCTCCTCCAGGGGATCTTCCCAACCCAGGGATCAAACCCACATCTCTTTCATCCCCTGCATTGGCAGGCAGGTTCTTTACCACTAGCACCACCTGGGAAGCCTATTCTGGCTCTACATCTCCTTAATTTATAACTAAACTCTGTTCTAGGCAACGCAGTTTCCTGCACTGTGATCCAATACCACACACACACGCCCCCACACACAGAGCTTCCCACCCTGTGATCCAACACCACACACACACACACCATGCAGCTTCCCTGGAAAACTGGCTTCCATTCATACTGCTCTCCCAGGAAGAGGTGGTCTTCACTGCCTTAGTCATGTTGCCCCAGTACCTCCCATTGATAGCTTATGGTGAACAGTGTTGGACTCATGATCTCCGAAGGAGAGAATTTTGCTTTGGGACCAAAGACACAGTTTCAGTCACTCAGAACTTCATATGGCCAAAATTTTATTACAGTGAAAAAGGGACAGAGAAAGCTTCTGACATAAACATCAGATGGGAGCGGAGAGTGCCCCCACTCACTAGTTCTGGTGTGGCTTTATGTACTTTTTCAATTGGTTACTAGCAATAGATTAAAAGAACATCTCAGGGTTTTAAAGGTCTTTCTAGACCTGCTCCCACAACATATATCTTAAAATAACAGAATTAGTCAGAAGGTTTTTGTTAAGAAGGAGAAACATGTCCTCAAGATACATTGATGTTATATAATCATTAGTTAGCTCTGGGCTTAAAGAAAGTTAGTCTTAGGGGAAGTAGATTGTTGTTTTAGCAACTCAGAGCTTAAGAAAAACATGTCTTAAGTGACTAAGACAAGGAATGTAGGAAAAAAGTTTGTCCCTTTCTCCTCCTCAAGGGACCTGGTCTCCTTATTGGCCTACCTAAGAATTAGCTCTCTCACCATCCTTTAAGCCACCTGAATTCTCATCTCCTATGTGAATCCTTCTCTGATTGTTTTGGACCTCTCCTTTCTCAAGTCTCACTGCTTGGTCCCTGACTGAGTCCTGACACACATTAGTCTCCAGTTGTTTCCTCCACTAAATTGTGGGTCCCTTCATGGTAGACACCATGTCTAATGTTTCTTTTGTGCCCTAAGAATATAATATAGTATGAAGCACCCAGCAGGTGCTCGATAATCAGTGGAGTCTTAAGACAGCTTGCAGTGGAGTCAGTATTATAGTTTGGGAAAGGTCATTGCAGTGAGCCCCTGGCACAGGATGGCATTTGGATGCATCTGCTGCTGTCTTTAGGGATAATATCTGCAGCTCAACAAACTCTTGTCACCAGAATGAGCTTCAAGTTGCAACGGTTTGAAGACTCAATAAATAATGCTCCTCTTTCCCCCCAGAGTTTGGAAGTGATTGAGAGTTAATCACAGAAGTCAGCTAGACTGACATGAGAGATCATTCATTACTCCCCCTTTGTATCTCCAGCACCTCAGACAGGTGTAAGTATTGAATAAGTGTCTCATAAATGGGTAATACTGGATCAATGGCAGAACCGGTATGAGATTATAGAATCCACTGCTGAACTAAGGGGATGGTGGAAAGAACTTTCTCCATGGTTTTTCTTCTTGGCAGTTAGAGGAGCCCAGAGACATAGATGGGTTTCCCCGATGGTTCAGGGGTAAAAAATCCACCTGCAATTTGGGAGACCCAGGTTCAATCCCTGGATCAGAAAGATCACCTGGAGGAGGAAATGGCAACCCACTCCAGTACTGTTGCCTGGGAAATCCCGTGGACAGAGTAGTCTGGTGGGCTACAGTCCATAAGGTTGCAGAGAGTCGGACACAACCTAGCACATGTGCAGGCATAGAGACATAAATAGATGGGGAGTTGGGATAGTCACGCAGGAAGCACTTTCATGTCCATTACCTCTTCTGATGTTTACAATAGCGCAGTGTTGGGGGCAGTAATCTTTATCCAGCTGTATAAATGAGGAAAGCTGAGACTCATAAAAGTGTGTGCTAGAGCCCAAATATATAGTTGTCTCTTTGTGTTCCTCATATCACCCTCCTGGACTCTCAGTGCTGGCCAGAAATACCCTGGTGTACCTCTTGTTGTTCAGTCTCTAAGTCATGTCTGACTCATTGTGACCCCATGGACTGCAGCACGCCAGGCCCAAAGACCTCTGTGGTCCTCTAGGATTGTAATATGGAAGATTTTCAACAGATGAGGTAGGCTTAGCCTGTCTAATGCTAGTGCCTTCCCTCAGGTCCCTGAGAAGTCAGTTCCCGCCTTACCCCTTCTTTCCCCGCTCCACTCAGGAGTCTGCATGGTGTCTCAGTCCTGCCCCACACACCTCTTCTCTTCAGACATCTCTGCAGTCAGGCAGCACATGACTCTAGTCACGTGACTGAGGAATCAAGAATGATGTCACACAATATACAGCATTCCTCCACCATTGTCTGCCCTTACACTTATGCTGCACAACCCTCCCAAAAGCATGCACCTGTCACCATGTGAGGTCCACTATAAAGCATCACCCCTTGTCCTGTTCCCAAAGCTATCTGGAGGGGAGGAGCCTGTCAGCCCCAGATGCTTCCTCTAGTCCCTTCTAGAATTCTGGTAAATGTATTTTTTCCTACCTTGTTAGTTAGGCTGTAAACCAAAAAACATTTAGAGATGCTATGTGTTTGTGTAGCTAAGAACTTGTTCAACATGTCCCTTCCATATGGAAGCTTTAAAAAAAAAATCACTCCTGAGGAACCCATGGAGCTCATATCTCAAATGTGCATCATTTTTTGTGGTAACACAGGTATTGCTTTTCTAGTTGCAAAATGATTGCTAACTTGGTAAATGTTTATAGAGGCAAGATTTGCTAAGGATTATTGAGTCGATTCTTTCATTGGTCTTCTTTCACAAGTATGTTTTCCCACACATATTAACTTTGTTATATATCAGTGCTTAGTCATAAGAACCTAATCTAAGTGTGTCTTAAAAAACTCTAAGAGGCCAAGAGATAGGGGCAGAGTTAAGAAAATCAAAATGTTTATGAGAATGAGGTTTAACTCTGTAGCTGAGGACTTGCAAAGCATAAAGATAGTGAGACCCTTTATTCTCAAAATACTGACATATTATCTACAGCTACAGATTCAATATCAGACTTGAGAATAAAGATCCTTGGTACTTAGGATAAAAAAGAAAATAACAAATGCTTGAATCACAGGGAACCCATACTGCTGATCTCAGGTCCTTGTAGATTAAAATGAGTGAATAGCAGAAGGACTCACAGAAGTTGCTGTCTGACCTCATGTTTTATTCTGTCTACTCTATAGGAACAGTAAAGGCTACATCATTTCAGTCTTTTAAATCTTTAGCTAGTGTCTTTCATTTTCAGGTTATGTCATGTAGAATGTAATTCAGCAGATAGAGATTCTAGAGATGTGGATGCAGGGAGAGCATAGAAGGAGAAAATCATGTTGAGTCGCCATTCAACAAGCCAGATCATGTTATTTATGAGATTATTATCTAGGGTTATTTATGTGATACCATTTTCTCTTCTTTTAGACATAGTGCTACCATCCTTAGAAGCACCTTCATCCATTCATTCAACATTCATCTTAGTCTGTTTGCACTACCATAATAACATAGCACAGACCAGCATGGAGGGGGTGGCTTATAAACAACAGGCATTTATTTCTTGCAGTTCTGGAGGCAGGGAAATCCAAGATCAAGGTAGGGCCAGATTGGATGTCTGATGAGGGCCGGCTTCCTGGTTCACAGACAGTCATCTTTTTGCTGTGTCCTCTTATGGCCAAGGGATGAAGGGGCTTCCTGGGGTTTCTTTCCTTAGGGCACTAATCTCATTCGTGAGGGCTCCGCCTATGTGACCTAGTTACTTCCCAAAGCCCCCACCTCCTGGGTGTTAGGATTTGACACATAAATTTTAGAGAGACACAAACATTCAGACACAAACATAGCCATGTTCAGCAAATATTTGCCCAGTGCTTGCTTGCTTTTGCCAGAGCCGGGAATGCATAGATGACCTAGCCTTTGAGAAGCTCATAGTCTAGAGAAGGAGATGGTCATGTGAACAGATATTTTGAAGCAAAGTGACAAAGGCTGTAATAGTTGTTTGTTGTTCAGCCGCTAAGTCATGTCTGACACTTTGCGACCCTGTGGACTGCAGTATGCCACACTTCCCCGTCCTTCACTGTCTCCTGGAGTTTGCTCAAATTCATGCCCATTGAGTCGGTGATGCTATCTAACCATCTCATCCCTCATCCTCTGCCACCCCCTTTGCCTTTTGCCTTCAATCTTTCCCAGCATCAGGGTCTTTTCCAGTGAGTCAGCTCCAAAGGACACAGTAGCTCTGAGGAGGGATCCCTAATGCTCTCTGGAGAAGCCAACCAGGTTTCCACAGAAATCAGGATGTTGCTCTGGGAGGAGGGAGAAGAATGTTCCAGGCAGAGAAATCAGGATGTGCACAGGCAGAGAGAAGTTCCATGTGGAATGGAACATGAAAATCAAACGAATGCCTTCAAATCACTTAATTAAAAGATTGGATACTCATGAGGCTGAAGTTGCTGGTAAAGTTGACATCTTTGGAATATTTAAAACTTTGATTTATTGAAACTACCTACATT